TGAATCGTACACTTTAAAAATGGATAAGATGGTAAATTTATGTAATGTGTATCTTAACACAGTAAAAACAATTGAAGATAAAAAAGTAAATTCAGAGCATCTCAGGAAAAACAGTTCACTTTTAGCTGCTCCAGAAGCAGGGGAGCTAAAGAGGTGCTCCGACCTCAGAGACAGAGGTGGTGGTGTTTCTGATGCAGGGCTGCCGACATGCCAGCTGACTTTTTTTTTTTATCTTTTCTGTAAAGTTGGTTTGAGAGATTTGAGTTTATAATGATGCATCACGAAGACCAGCTACATGGAAGACTATCAGTAGCCCAAAGAGATACGTAATCAGATACGTGTAGGAAGGGACTCGGGTGACTTCTCTGTGGTCTGTCACCTCACAGAGCACAGGTGGTTAGACCATAAAACCACTCCTCAGTATTTTTTCTACCAATGGGGAAACTACGTGATTGTGTGCAAATCGATACCAGAAATAGTCTTAATTCTGAAATTGGAATAGAAACAGAGTCACGAATAAACACAACACAGAAACAGAAGCAGTCAGAGCAGAGCCCTGGTACCCATGATGGAATTTCCACCAGCTTCCATCTGCACGAGAGCTCAGCAAAGAGTGTCCTTCTCGGGCCTCATTGTCTGTTAGGTCTCCTGAGCCCATCTGGGTGCCCTCGTCTACCCAGCACCTCTAAACAGAAGACTCCCAGAAAGAAGCATGAGAGAGAGAAAATCATTTTTACTTGCAATTTATACACACACAGGGAGGAAAGGGTGACAGAGTTACAGTTACAGTTAGTCTGTCATTGTTGGAAACTAGTTTTTTTAACATAATTATAATATCTCCAATAGTCTTCTCATATCGATATTGCAAAAGTCAAAGACAAGATTATTTTCATTGGAGACTAATAACTTAGAAGAAATGGCCCAAGGATTCATGTCTGTTGGGAACTTGAGCAAAACAGAGTGACCTGTTTGTTCATGGCGGTGGCAGATTTGTGTTTTGTTTTGTTTTCATCTCAGGGAAAACATGTTTTTCTGTTGTGACATATGGTTCCACAATCGTGGATAAGAGGAAGCACATCCATTCCAGCTGGAGACGAGGCCAATATCCGCCTTGCTTCCACAAATCTAGATGTCTTCGAATGCAATGACCTGCTTTTCCCTCTGATGAGATTTTGCTGCAGAGCCCTCCCCTATGATGTTTACTAATTGTGCATATTTTTCTCCATAGGAAAAAGTTAAATAGCAGTCCAACTTGTCCATTGTTATTAAACTTCAGAGTTCACTTGGTTTTCACTACCCATTTCATTGTCCCAGTGGAAATTTCTGAATCCTCTCTCTCTCCATTACCCCCGCCCCAGCATGTCACTGGACTCTAAGCCTGGTCAGTCACATCTTCGGAACCTCCATCGTGACCACTCTGCTGTCCCCGATCTCCCCGCCCCCATTGCCAAGTCTTTGCAGTTACTTGCTTTTGTCCTGAAATATTACAGTCACCTGCTCAATGCTATCATCAGCGTGAATCACTGTGGCTTTGGTCTGTGCGCTATCATTTCCTTACGTTTAAACCAACTTAAATGCAGAGGTAGGGGGAGTGCTCTTCAGTCTACAGTTGTTCCTGGTGCCACTGCCCCTTTCGAGGGCCTCAGCGGTTTATTGTAAGACAGAAAACTCCACTGCCTCGTGCCAGGCGTGACCACGGGGTGTGGCCCGTGCTCTCATGGTCTTTGCATCCACGGAGCATCCCAACGCGCCACAGGGGCACTGCTGAGCTCCAGGGGCCCTGATGTCGCTGGGCCCAGGCAGGACCTCCAGCCTGCTCCTCCCCCAGGTTCCTAAAGGGACAACATCCACGTGGAGAGGCAGCCACTCCCCTCCTTAACCCAAGGAGAACCTTACATCCATCCGTTTCTCCAAAAAAAAAACAAAAAAAGTTCGATCACCTTGATAGCGTTCAGCTGTGAAAGTTACTTTTCTTCATTTCGCCACTTTTCTTCATTGCCGCTGTGGCTCAGGAAGAAAATTGGTTCAAAAGGCAGCGAACCCCTTTCACCCCCAAAGAAATCTCAGGCGCCAGACCTCAGACCAAAAGCTGACTGAGAGGTGGGGGCGGAGGGTGCCAAGGTTCCTCTTATTAGGCAACAAGAGAAGCTTTTCACTCTTATATTGTTTAGAAACTTAGAGGACAAAGAAAATATTTGACATAGAGCAATTATGGGCCCAGGCTACCTCAAATGAAATGCTTGTAGTTTCAGTAGAAGTTCAAGAGCTTTATGGTCAAGAAAAAGACTACCCGTTTCTGCCACCTTCGGTCTCCTAATTCTGAAAACTTCCTTCTTGATGCATAAGAACTCTCTTTGCAAAATATTTTGTGTCTCCCCAACATATAGAACAAATCGCAGATCTCTACTTCCTCTCTCAAGCCTTCCTAGGCAGCCCAATCTTATTTCTCCTTCTCTGAACTGCTGTCATTAGCTCGCCATACACGCTCACTTATGGCTGTCATTCTATGTTCCTCATTTTCTTCCCCTCATTAGCCTCAAAGTTTCTAAACGCAAGAAAGAGCTTAAAAAGCTATTCTCGCTACCCAAATTTCACGTGAAGTTAGGGTTCAAGTTCCAGTGTGAGAAGACAGCGTCTCTCAGCAGCATAATCAAAGGCTAAAGCAATCGTATGCCCTTAAAAGAATTAACAAACTTTGCCCGAGGTCTTCTGCCCTTTGGTATATTTTTCCTTGATTTGTTTCTCCACTCGGGTGGTCAAACTATGGACTAAAATGTGTCCCTCCAAATAAGCTAATAAATGGACTAAATGAAAAATCTCCAATTGCCTAGTAAAATGCCAGCAAACTATACAATGTGTCCCTCCAAATAAGCTAATAAATGGACTAACTGAAAAATCTCCAATTGCCTAGTAAAATGCCAGCGAACTGTACTAGAGATAATAGAAATGGAATCATTCCAGCG